GAAGGATTTTTACTGAAACTTTTTTAGTTTTGGGCATTTGTTATGATGCATAACCATGGCAACAAGGCAGTTTTCTACAACCAACAGCAGCTGATTAACATCTCAAAAGCTCAAATAATATCTCAACTACAGTCCCAAATCTCAAATGAGTTGAAAAGGATGTTCTGTGGACGCATTCTCATCTACCTGCTAGTTGTGCTCAAGTATCTGACCACTGAGATCCTGGAACTAGCAGGAAACACGGCTCATGACAGCGGAAGGACAGGATCATCCCTCGGCACCTACAGTTGGCTGTCCGCAGTGACGAGGAGCTTGGCAGACTGCTGGGAGGAGTGGCTATCGCTCTGGGAGGAGTTCTGCCCAGCATTCGGGGGGTCCTACAGCCCGGGGGAACCGAGAGGCCAGTCGAGTCTGGGTGGATGGATCAGACGGCATCTGCAGCCAGTTTCTTAGGATCCACTGTGAGATGGACCTTTACAAGAGATCCTTCTTGTCTACAGCCATCAGTATCTTTAACATCTCTTAATGAAATTAGGATAACGAGTTACTACAACAAATAATTTCCCTTTGGGATTAATAAAGTATTTTTGAATTGAATTGAATTGAAGACAAAGGAAAATACTGATGGAAGAGATTGTTTAAATTTGGTTACAGCATTTTCTGATAAGCACCTGCTGAGATGAAATTTACACTCAGTGACTGTGTAGTCATTTAATGTAAACTCAAAGGTAATAAAAAATGGTCGGACATAATAGGCGTTTGAGGAACTATTACCAAGTCCTTAATCTTTATACCCTAGGTCAGAACTAAATCAAGAGTGTGAATGATAAGAATGAGTAGATGTGCGGACATTTTGGGTAAAACCAAATTGACTCTATTAAATTATTAAAGGCTATGCTTAAGCTATCACTTTCAACATCTACATGAATATTGAAATCACCCATTATTATGACTTTATCAGTATTTAATAGTAAGTCAGTTAAGAATTCTGAGAATTCAGACAAAAACTGAGAGTAAGTGCCTGGTGGATGGTATATACAACTAGTAAAATTGGCATTTTTGATTTCCATTTTGGATGAGACAGACTGAGGGACAGTGATTCAAAAGAATCATAACTAATAACTGGTTTGGCATTAATCAATAATCCTTACTGAAAAATAGAAGCTACTCCTCCACCTCGGCCAGTTGTTCTAGGAACATGAAAATTAAAAAAATTAACAGGAGTGGATTCATTTATACTAACAAAATCCTCCTGTTGTAGCCAAGTTTCTGTCAGACAGAATAAATCAATATGATGATCAGTTATCAGTTCATTAACTCACGGGGATTTAGAGAAAAGGGATCTGATGGTCAAAAATCCACATTTAATGATTTTATGATTTTTTTCTGGTAAAGTAACTGTTTATTTTAATAAGATTTTTATGGTTTATATTTTTAGAGCTTATTTTTGGTTTATTCAATTTGAGCCGTGGGCGAGTTGACACTGTTTCAATGGGGGTGTGGGTGGGTAACAGAGGAGAAGCAGCAGAGAGGTGTGGAGGACTACAACTCTGCTTCTTGGACTGGACCCTGGGTTGTCAATAATTTGGGAGATAAACAAAATCAGCCATATTTCTAGAAAGAAGAGTGGCTCCGTCCAAAGTGGGATGGATGCCATCTCTCCGCATCAGTCCAGGTTTTCCCCAAAAAGAACTCCAGTTATCTATGTAGCCCACATTGTTGTCAGAACACCACCTGGACACCCAGCGGTTAAACGACAACATACGGCTAAACATGTCATTGCTGGTCAGGTTGGGGAGGGGGCCAGAGAAAACTATGGAGTCTGACATGGTTTTAGCAAAGTCACACATCAAAGCAACATTAATTTTAGTGACCTCTGATTGGTGTAACCGGGTGCCATTACTGCCGACATTAATAACAATCTTACTGTATTTAGCCTAAATGATGGAATGATAGACAGCATCTAACATCTGCAGGGTGCTTATAGAGGCGTTCAAGTAAATGATGTTACCATAGTCAATGGAGGTGTCAAGGAAGCCGAGGTGCGGAGTTCAGCCTGCTCCTACAAAACAAACATGTCTTGACATGCCCTGCTTCTAGGCCTCGGAGTCTGAGATAAAGAAAACCATGTGTGAAGAAACACATACACTTACACACCACATAAACACAAATGTATATGACACACACTCACACAACTACACAGACACACACACAGGCTCGCTTGGACACACACATGCAGAGAGAGGACAGCAGAGCAGAAGATGTCTTCTCTTTTTAATAAAAATTACCAGTTTCAGATGAATGAGAAAGATGTGTTTATAAAAAATCAATAAACAAGTAGATAATCAAGTGATATTATAAACTTTGTGATTTTAAAATGTAAACATTATGATTTTAGAATGTAATCTGTTTTAAGCTTGTTCATGTTGTTGATTGTTGAAAGAAGGACCCCGTAGTTTCACGAATGTTCTAGAAGAAGTTATACAAGCAAAGGTATTACGCAATGGAAAAAGCCCCAGAAACAGCTCTGAGCAAATCAGGATAGGACAACTCAAGGATGACTAAGCATAATTGAACAAAGTACACCCAGATTTTAATATGCATGAGGAGTGACTGGCAAAACCTCATAAGAGGCCTGTAAGATCGGACCTAAATCTAACCCAGAAGGGTTGGGTTTGCCTGATGGCATGATCGGTCTGGAGATGTCAGTCAAAATCTTAGGCTATATAGACAGAAGTTTCTGTGAAAACTCCGCTGTTTGGGACCCACTGCTCGTGTGAGGAGGCGATGGAAAGGACCCGGGAGGACCACGAGACGATTGTGGAATAATAGGACAAGTTGGACTGGCTCAGCTGGAGAAGAACTAGGGTGAAATCCGTTGGAATATGCTTCTTTTTGGAACTATTCATCAACCCATCAGCCCGGATTATTCCTAAATCCTTTTTCTTCAATTTCAACCAGATCAAGGACCAGAAACGGCCCGCATCCAAGAGAGATGGGGAATTTTGCCTCTTGCTAATTCAGAAAACATGGTAAGAGGACGTTTCTCAAACTTAGTCCTTAATAAAACCTTATCCCAAATTAAAGCAGCGGTGTATGAATTGACAAGCAGAAAAATCAATTATATTATAAATCTGGTTGCTCAGAGTTGCAGAAGGGCCTTCCTTGCAGTGAGAAATAATGTGTTGGGTCAGGTAGAGAGAGTAGGTAAACTGTGTGGGTACTTGTGTTCCTGAGTGAGACCGGGCGTGGCTGGCCAGACTAAAAGACGTCCGAGGCCGAGCAGAGAGGAGTCCAGGGGCCTGTCTCAAGCCCATCCACAGGGTCGGAGATCTACCTTGCCTAGGAAAGGTCAACAACTGGAAAGGGACTAAGGAGTGAAAATTATTCATCATGTAATCTCTTTGTAATCGAGTGTAATCATTATTGTGCATACCGCTGTTCCCCTGCCAAATTTATTGATTAAAGCAAAGCAAAACGTAAAATTCTGGATTCTTATTTCAACACCCCTTTTGTTCTTGGAAGTGGAAAACTTGGTTCAGAGAAACAACAGAAGCACAGCACGGGAGGTTTTAAACGGTTTTATTAGCCTTTGATTATAAAACAACATCCATGAGCCTTGTGTCTAGGCTCTAAACAACGCCAGATCGATTAACAATTGTAACGCTAAATCAGGAGATGAGCTGCCGTTAACTTGCGCTTTCTCGTCTGCTAAACGTCCCCACTCCTGCTGCTAGGTCGGGCGAGGCACGAGGTGAGACTTTGGGTGTGGTACAAGGATCGGAGGTAGTTAACAGTCTGGGTGAATCATCTTAACACAGCCTTAAAACTAAAACTGTCCTAGGAAACGGCTGCGGGTAATACCTGAGCCATAGGATTAGTTTTGAGACCCGTTGGAGGAGAGGCTGCGGTGAGGGCGTGGCACGTGTCCTGTGCCTACCTCACTTGGGAAAGCAAGACAGAGGGAATGAAAGTAGCAGTTACAAGGTGTTTCCTAGCATTCAGAGTTAGACAGGATCTGTTTCTAAAAATGAAACCCAGTTTTACTTTCAGTTTCTTTACTAAGTTTTCGACATTGGGCTTAAAAGAGAGATGTGTATCGACCAAGATACCTAAGTATTTATAAGAATCGACAAATTCAATAGGAACACCATTCGAAGATAAAATAGAAGGAAGGACTGTGGGAACTGACTTCCTGTTTTATCATTATTATTATTACTTGTTATTATTACTGATTATTATTATTATTACTCTCTTTGAAACAATAGAAAAACCAAACTAGAGGGGAAGGAAAAGGATTCAGCGGAAAATAGTTATGGAGGACTGTAACAATTTACATGAAAATCCCAGCCAAAACCTTTTTCTGCCACCCTTACTGCCTGCATGAAGACCGATGTCCATACAGTTTGTGCCGTCATGCTCACACAAACACACAGAATACATATTGTCGTTTACAACCTCAGTTCTCTAAGAGGGGCTGCTGTGGCCTATCCCAAATTACACGTGTCCCTGACAGGGCATAAATCTGATTCAGATGGACAGATAGTTGATTTTTCAAGAGAGTGAGGACAATATATATTCCTCCTGCCCTAGTTAGCTGCCGTTCTCCTCTCACCTTAGAAGTTCTCAGCATATTAAGCTCACCAGGCTCCTTCATGCAATAACACCCATTAATCCACTTCCATCAATTCTCTATCTATCTCTTCCATCCCACATCTCCCGCTTTCTCCTCATTTATTCCTTCCCTAGCAGAGGATTTGAGTCAGAGTTGAAGTAGGTCTGCATCATGCTGTTTTTAACCTGTGTCCCCATCTATGCTGTGGTTTAGATCTTATCAAAACCAGAAAAATCTGCTGATTTTCACTTTTCCCATTACTTTCCATCCAGCACTCAGATCCTCAACATATCACTCATAAAGTTCAGAATGTGTTTTATTGCATGTTAGCAGATCTGTATAAAAAGTTATTTCATGTTATGCCTCTTGTACTTTTCGCTGACAGATATTTGAAGGTAACAGCAATTATGACACTCCTGAACTAAGGACATTGGAGCCCCTGCTGACTCGTTTCATCAGAATTTATCCAGAGAGGGCCACTCCAGCTGGGATGGGTTTGCGACTTGAACTCTTGGGCTGTGAGATTGAAGGTAAACAGGAGCAACAACTTGTCTTCAGAGAAATCTGTTGCATATCTTTGCTTATTATCTTTTGTGCGTTATTATTTTACACAAAAACTTTAAGAAGGGGGAATATTGTTGTACAATTACTCTAGGAGCATTAATCATAGTTTGAACAGTAGCAGCAACATTACTACTCAGAGTATATTTTTTCCCAATAAAAGCAATTAAAAAGAAGTGTTATAAAAAATAATCAAATCAAAGTGCCATATAAAATGTGGTAAAATACTAAAAACAAGAAAATATTTGCTTAGATATTTCTAATGACCATATCAAAAGTTTAAAATCCCTTAAAGAAATTAGGGTGGACAATTTCAGTTCCTGTTGCAAAGTGTTCCAGGTTGCAGGAGCAGAGTAGGAAAAGGCCTTTTTGCCAAGTTCAGTCCGCACTGAGGGAACGCTGCAGGTAATGATGGCCTGAGAGCGCATGCTGTAACTGCACTGACGACGTGACATGTGGTAGGTGATATAAGAGGACAACAGACCAAGAAGGGATTTATAGATGAAAATGAACCAGTGTGAGAGCCTATGGGTAGATAATGATAACCAACTCACCAGTGAGTACAGAGTGCAGTGATGGGTATTGTAGTTACAGCCAGTTATGAATCTTAATGCCCCATGGTAGACAGCATTCAATATCTGCAAGCAGCTGGCAGGAGCATTCATGTACAGTAAATAATGTCACCATAGTCAATAGCTGGTAGGAAAGTGGCAGCTACAAGGCATTTTGTGACATTCAGAGTTATGCAAGATCTAATTTCTGAAAAAAAAAAAAACAGTTTTAATTTCAATTTCTTTAACATGTTTTCAATATAGGGCTTTAAAAAAGATGTGCATCAATTAAAATTTCCAAGTATTTGTAAAATTCCAAAAACTCAATAGGAACACCATGTGTGGATGAAATACTGTAGGAGGAAGAATTGCTGGCACCACTGCTGATGTGTTTTGCTGTAGAAACAAATGTACCAGTGTACAATATTGTTTTTCCTAGTTTAGATGTGAAAATTGTCTGTAATAGGGTCAGGCCTGTGATGGTGATCTTACAAGACATATGTCACCCCCTCACACTGGAAGAAGACTCTGCTATGACATTTAAAAAAACTCAGCCCAATTGTTTCTTTACAGGGTCAATATGATGACTAGACGCAACACACATAATGGGATCTCAGATGGACATGAGCAGCTGTGGCTAAGTGATTAGAGCAGCTGTCCTCCAATGGGAGAGTTGGGGGGTTCAATTCCACCCGGAATCACATGTTGAAGTGTCCCTGTGCAAGACACTGAACATTGTCTCTGATGTGTGTCCCATCGGTGTATGAATGTGATCCAAAGCTCTGATTAGTCTCTACAGATTCAGATTAGCTTTGTAGACATAGTAGAGTGCTGTATGAATGGGTAAATGAGGGCACATGTTGTACTGTAAAGTGCTTTGAGTATTGTGACTAGATAAATTGGTGCTATAAAAGTACAGTCCATTTACATGATAGAGCGTGATACATTTATGATAGTTTTGAGCATGCAAAATCCTTTCAAAGTAAAGTCATGGTGGCTTATTACAGTTTTAAAAGTTTATCAGAGTCCTAGACTAAGTCTGGTGGCAGCAATGGCAAAGTGCACATGACAAATGTGGCCCATTTGTACCCATGTGGATTGGTAATGGAAGATATGAGTTAAAATGGGCCATGCTAGTCTCATGCCTAGACTATGACAAGGATTGCGACAAGGTTATGCTAACAACCGAGGGCAGATGTGATACCGATGTGCCATTTGGTACAAGAGAGAAATTGCAGTTTGGTGCAAGGGGCATGGTGCAGTCATGGCCTTACAATATATTAATAAAAATAAATATTGTGTATGTATTGTCATCATTGTACAGTATGTTCCCATCCAATGGCAAAATTGGCTGTCTGCATTTAATCCATCCACCACCAGGCGGAGCAGTGGGCAGCTACTGGAGGCGCTTGGGGGGCCACTGGGGATAGGGTGTCCTGCTCAGAGACACCATGAGATGTGCAATGACTGGGGATTGAACCCGGGACCTTTGGGTCTTGAGTCGGCAAGTGACGACACCTGGGTTAAAATTAAATCTCAGGAAGTCCAACATTTTACTGATCACATCAACTTGGTGGATAAATATATACAGTTCACATGAGAAGATGTAAAAAATGGCAGGCTGGCTTTCTTGGACTGTGAGGTCTCAGTTTCTGATAGAGGACGTTTGAAAACCGAGGTGTACTACAATCCCACCCACACAGACCAGTATTTGCAGTTTGACTCCCATCACCCTTTGGAGCACAAGTTAGGAGTCATCAGGACTCTGTACCACAGAGCAGACAGCGTCCCCACTAACTCAGGAGCCAGGCAGAAGGAGAAATCCCACACAAGACAGGCTCTAGAGAAATGTGGATATCCTAAGAAATTGTCCATCATTAAACAGGGGTGGAGGTCACAACTAGTCTGTATGGTTTATCTAAAATCCACAAACAAGGTGTACCTTTAAAACCAATTGTTAGCATGATTAACTCTGTTACTTACAATGTTTCCAAATAACTGGCGTCTGTACTCATCCCTTAAGTTGGCAGGTCTGAACACTACATACAGAGCACCATGGACTTTGTTGATAAGGTGATGGATGTCATCATGGAGACTGATGAAACAATGGTCTATTTTCATGTCACATCACTCTACATGCATTCCTGTTGATGATGCAGTAGAGGTGGTCAGTTTAAGATTAAAATCAGACACTACTCTGAGCAGCAGGACCACGCTTTCCACAAAACAAATGTGTCAACTCTTGAAACTGTGCCTGCAGTCAACCTACTTCACATATGGGGAGCAATATTATAGACAGAAACATGGGTGTGCTATGGGGTCTCCAGTTTCTCCTATTGTTGCCAACCTGTACATGGAGGAGGTAGAAAAGAGAGCCTTGACGCCCTTTTCAGGGACACCACCAAGTCATTGGTTCAGGTATGTTGACGACACCTGGGCTAAAACTAAATCTCTGGAAGTCCAACATTTTACTGACCACATCAACAGTCCCTCAGCACAAACAAAGTAATACTGTGTATGTTGTTCAGTGTCAGGAGGGCTGTGATCAGTTTTACATAGGGGAAACTAAACATCCACTGGCCAAAAGGATGGCCCAGCACAGAAGATCAACATCATCAGGCCAGGACTCTGCAGTCTACACTCATCTCCAGGCCAGCGGTCCCTCTTTCAGGGATGAAGATGTTCACATCCTGGATATGTTATTGATTGTTAAGCTGATGCAGAGCCCTATAAAGAGAGAGAGTTGCGACACTCCCATAGACACCCATAGAAAGAATGGAATGCGGAAGTGACGTGGGTCATGCAGCAGCAAATTGTTCCAAACAGCAGCTGTTCCAGCATTGAACGTAGTTCATTCTCCATGTTTTCTCCGGTAAGTTGATGAAAATATGACACCTTTTTTTTGCCATTGATAAGCGTTATCTGATTGTTCTGTACCACAATTTATCAACATTAATACTTCATGTCGCCAGTTGTAGTTAATGAAACATGTTAAATTGCTAGTTGTGTTTTAACTGCATCTAGCTCTGCCAACATGATGGTTTAAACGGGTCTATTTCTAATTCAGCGTTTTAAATGATCCATAACTGCTTAAATTTTGAAAGGTGGTCTTTTTTTAATTTATGGTCATTCCAGTTACTGAACTCAACTAGAAAATGTTTGGCCTTTTTTTCCTGAGAGATTCATTCAACCTTTATTTAGACAGGTAAATCCCATTGAGCCTCGAGGACTCATTTACAAAAGAGACCTGATTTCAACAAAGAATGATGACAACATGACAACAAGATTGACATAATTTAGTTAAAGTTATAGATCATTTGTCAAAGACTGCAGCATAAATTGTGACATTATCATTAAAGAAAAATGTGATTGTGGAGATGAGTCAATTTTTTTTCATGTTTTCCAGGTAAACCATAGGAGAATGACTTCAGTGAACTGCTGAATTTTGCATTCAAAGTATCACAAAGGTAACAAGATCTCATTTTTGTCTTCCCAAATCCATAACAGCTTAATCAAGATGTTTGAATAAAATTACTTTAACACCATAACCTTCACAAAGTTGGTATTTACTGCAGGACTGTTAATTTACATTTGTTTTATATTATTTGTTTAGTGTATGGTAATCATGGGTCAAGTTGAGATGATACTCTCTTTCAAGACAGAACAAGAAATAAGAATTATTACCAAGAATATATCAGCATCAATAAACTGTAGGACAGTAACAAAAAAACTTATTAAACTATCACAGGTACATTGAGATGTGTCGTAACCGAGGGGAACCCAGATTTGTATGAGACCCGGAACGAGA